TATGCACTATCTCCACCAGCTGTGTTGCAGGAGGCCAGCTGAACTGCTCTTCGAGCTCCAACTCAGTCACCTACACATTTTTTCCTATCGGGCAACCTTTCGCGCTGGAGTCAAGAGGCTTTCTTTATGAAAGTCAGTAGAGAAGATGCATTGTTATGTGGGATCTGAAGATGAGTGAAGTAGGGCTCACACCAGTCTCGCTTTAACAGTCTTCCTGTCACGGCGCAATTATTCTAGTAGTTAAAGCCAGTTTGTTTGGGATGTCTCCTGATCTGAGGAGCCCTAGGGCGACAGTGGCCACAAACACGTGATTTCCCGAAGACAGCTTTCAGTGGGATGGCAAATGATGCTCCCCACATCGAAGACTCGAGTGCTTCAATAATCTCTGAAATACAATCCATCGAACGCTTCAGCTGCAGACTCACGAGGGCCGTACGAAAACAGGCTGCTTCACTAAGACAGGGCTTAGTAAGCGAGATCCTCATGTCATCTAAGGCTTTAACACTCACTGAAATAAGATCATTGAGTCTAGTCTGTAAATCATCAGCGGATACATGGGTAAATGAAATTTGGGGAGACCTCACGTCGTTCAGTCCAAGTATGAAAAGAATAGTCAATAGTAGCAGTCGGCGCACGGAACCATCCCATCGTGGTGCTAGCTGGTACGTCAGTCTGTGTGTCGGACACAAACTCAAACAAACGACATTGCCATCGGTTACCGATGGCGCGGATCAATAGAGCACCTTTGTGCACTCTGACCACGCCTTCGTCCGGAGTGACCTCTCTACGTTTTCTAGGGCCGCGTAAGGTGCGGACAAATCGCTTGGCAACTGAGAGATTGGCAGATCCGGATGTTAGACGAACTTACCATAATCGTCTTCTAGAGTCTCTTCCAAATGCTCCACTATCAGGTGTGAACCCATACTGGGACGAGATTACCACCTCTTTGCATAGTGCTGGGAATTTTGCCTGTAGCACGGTACCGCCAGGTGCATTCAAGCACTGGATATCAGACCAAACGGTGGCACTGCTTAAATATCCCAGCCGGTCCCGAACATAACTTGATGCGACGAATTTTCAGACGTCAAGTGAAGGTGAGCGTGAAGTAAGGTAGACACGAAAAGCGAAGGAAGTGGAAGATGCCCAGAAAGCCGGTAATGCCCGAAGATTATTTCAGATGATCCGTGCGACCGGTCCCCGGAAACGACCAGTGAGCGAAAGCATCAAGGATCTGAATGGGGTGAACATCTCGAATAAAGAAGGACGTCTCAACCAATGGGCCGAATACTTCGAACAACAATTGTCATGGCCCCCATCTGGAGCACATAGGTGACGTAGGACCCTGGACGGTGAACTCCCAACCGCATTGTTCAAAGATGGTGAAATTCTCAGTCAGCGCTTGTCTGATCTGCATTTTGGAAAAGGAGTCTGTCCCAGACAACTGAGGAGAGTCGATGATAGTGCTTATTTTCAAAAAAGAGGCTCGTAAAGAGTGTGGCAACCACAGGGGAGCCAGCTTGACCCCGGTCGTAACGAGACTGTTGGTGTCACTAGTGCTTTATCGCCTCATGGTGGCTCATGAAACACTGACTTGAGAGCAGCAAGAGGGATTCCGGCCTCGTAGGGTTTGTGTTGACCAAATCTCCACACTTCGTCAGGTTCTAGAACAACGCCATACGTACAAACGACCTACAATTCTAGTACTCCTGGATTTTTAGGGCGCATTTGACTCGATTGACTGGTCTGTTCTGTTTGACACGCTTGCCCACCGAGGAACGCCTCCGGAATCCCTACGAAGATTGGCCTGAGTCGACACCACCGGCACCCACACCCCACCCAGCATAATGCAGATAACCTTGACCGAATGAAGCATTCCGGTGTCCGCTGGTCCCAACAAGAGTCAAGACCACTTTTGTGCCTGGTTAATAATTATATCCGTATTGTGACAAGCAAACCTCGCTGTTCGTGAGATTGGAGCAATATCTCCCCAGTCGATCACCTATTAGCATCAAAAAAGTTTACATGTGTTTAACTGGCAAGCACAACTGGACAAATCGCCATCTAGTAGTCCTGACCAAAACATCGGGTAAACAGCTACCTATTCGTTAGAAGCTGATGACGGTTTGTTTAAACAAACCGTGGATTGCGCCGTCACTCTTGGAATTCCACTCTGACAGTTCGCGTGCCAGTTTTGACCTGGCATTTCCACACACGTGAAATCCTGTCCCTCGATGCCGCCATCAGCTAGCCCATCGTGTGCCAGCAAACCAAAAGCAGATCAGCCGAGGCCACTAACCAACATCTAGATCCTATACCACCAATGACGGAAAGATAAGGTGTTTGCTGTGCTCGAAGGGTCTTGGAAAGATCTGTAAAAAGGTATCTGCTGCCTAATTTTGGATGCCGACAGTATTGGAAACAGGTGCCCTCTCCTCCAAAACACGTGGATGGCCGGCCAAGTCGCGCAATGCAGCTATCCTCTTTGGACTTGATCGATCCAATTACAGATGAGGAAGTCGACCACGTGGATGCCGGCCAAGTCGCGCAATGCAGCTATCCTCTTTGGACTTGATCGATCCAATTACAGATGAGGAAGTCGACCCGTTTATTGGACGACTCTTCCCCGGGTCTGGAGAAGCTCGCATCCAATATTCTTCTCCGCTTCAATGCTAAGCCTCCGTAGGGTATCTCAACTTAGTCTTATTATCTGGAGGTTGTCCGCCGCATTTATGTCGTGCCCGTATTACCTTAGTTCCGAAGGTCCCAAATACAACTGAGACCGATCTCTGCGTCATCCGTTCTTGTTCGATACTTTCATATGGTACTTGCTGAGTGCTGGAGCCGTACATTGCAGCTGTCCTCACTCTAGTTTACGTTTCTACGTCGAGACGGTTGTTTTAGCTTTCATATGGTACTTGCTGGTTGCTGGAGCCGTACATTGCAGCTGTCCTCACTCTAGTTTACATTTCTACGTCGAGACGGTTGTTTGCGAGGTACGTCGACCTTACACGCCCTGCTTCGCCACTCTTCAGCGGCTGCTTCTAACCTCAGCTTCGCGGTTGTTGATAACTTGAAAGCATTTGATTCGCTTTCAGATTGTCGGATCTGTCGAGGAATTCGGAGCACCTCTAGTTCGATTCATCGCACCGTCCTATGAGAATACCGCAGCAGTTTCCCCAAATTCCAAGGTTCATTGCCACAGAGGTGTGATGAAGGGAGATTCACTCTCCTCAAAATTTTTCACCATGGCCATGGATGAAATTCTTGAATTGTCGACACCGCAACGAGGCTATCGGTTCTGTGTTACCTTATTCTACGGTTTTCTCGTCACTGACGACTGGGTCGTGTGTCCAGAATGTCAGGCTCACCTTAAAGGGAAGCTTGAAGCTTCTATGGTCGAGTTGAGAAGAGCTAGTATGGCTATCAACGCCCAAAAGGCAACGGCACTGGTGATTTGTAGGGACAGGAAACATCGGATGACCGCGACCTCAGTCGAAATTTTTGCTTCGCCGAGGAACCCACCAATCCTTTGGGTCCGACAGACACCGTGACATAATTTGGCATTTCCTTTACTTTTAGGAGGAAAGGAGTGCGCGACCACCGATAGTAGCAAACTGCTTGATGACGCGTGCCCCGTTGAAGCCGCATCAAGTCCACCGAAACACGTTCAGAAGGTTGGACAATTACATCGGGTAATCTATTCGTGACTGGCTACGTCTACCGAAGGACCTCCCGACCAGCTACGTTCAAGCCGATGAACAACATGGGGGACAGTATCCCAAGCCCGAATCCATCATCCCGATGCAGCGGAGAGTGCCTGGGGGAAAGCAGTGCCGATTACTACGCAATGTAGTCAATGACTTCGCATTTGGCAGGGTTGTTCAGCTTCCCAGCTTTCCTACTCGAGTCCAAGGTGCATTCGTAAACACCAAGGAAGAGCTGGTGGCTGCTTGGGGGCGACAATCTGCACAACAGTGAGAACGTTCGCGGTTGACGAGAGTTGGTCGCGTCACCCATCTCGAATCTATGGTTTGTGTTTTCTCGGATACATACCCGCCGTATCCAGTTCCAGTGCAACTTGCTTGGGGCGAAATTTAGAAGCTCCCGGCGTGATCGAAGTGAACAGACTGTCTTCTATCAAGGAAACCGTAGTCTACCGGAGAGTTTGGTGAATTTGCGGTCCTGCTTGACCACGCATGATGGTAGATGTGCTCGTCATAATTGAGTTGCAAGGAAAATCGCGAAACGTCTCCGTCGCCTGGGTTACACCCTCTTCGAGGAGTTGAGAGACCTACGTCGAGGTCTTTCATTGAGCCTGACCTGATCGCTGTTCGGGAGCGTCGACCATCCGTGATAGACGTAAGCATAGTCGCGCGGAGTGACTATGTGGAATGAGAAGTAGAAGTATTGTCTGATAATTTTTCCTTCGTCCTCATCTCGGTCTTACGTGCAACCGACGGTGATGCTGACCTTTTGGTTTGCCAACCGATGATCGTTTCATATGGAGGGATCTGCTTTCCTTAGTCCGCCAAGACTATTATTGGACTGGGACTTCCTAATGTCATAGTCAGTGACTTGTGTTTGCTCGGGATTTGGGGCTTTCTATGTACCTACGGCACTTTTATGCGTTGTACACGGCGTTGAAGGTTCATTTTTGCCACTGGCTTTCACATCTGACTCAGTATGACGGACACTTTGTGCCCGATGTGCAGACTTTGACTGAGCCGGCGCTTACTGCACCTTGAAGAGGATTTGTAGTTATTTACCCTTCGGTTGCTGGTCTTTACACGTTTTTCTCTACCGAACATTCTTATACATGCTGGGAGTTATCTCCGACTGGGACAGTTGGTGGCACCTTTTGAATGGGACGCTCCCTTCGTTTTATCTCATTCTCTCCTGCACACCCTTCCACGTCTATCGCTCGGATTTATTTTTTACTTTTGACCATGCTCTTCAAAAATAAACGACAACAGTAGTTGTAGAACGCGTTGCCATTCCGTAGTAGGATTATCACACTGGCCAATTTGGTGAGCTGCTCACTCGGCTTTATTAAGCTTTTGTGTCAACATCGACATGTTGCCCAGTCAAAACTACCGACTGTTTAACAAGCCCTTCTGAAACGCTATTTCGTCTTACTGCTAATATCTGGGGTGGGGGATGGGTCCACCGCATTTGTGTTGTAGCCCGGTCGTTCCAAAGGTCCCAAATCCGATTACAGCAGCCGAACTGAGAACGATTTCCGTGCCGTCCACTCTTGTTCGGTGCTTTTATAAAGTGCGTGCTGACCGCTGGAGCCGTTGGTTGTACCTCCACGTCGAGGCAGTTGTTTGAAAACTATCTTGTTGTTACACGCTCTGCTCCTAACCTCATTTTGCGGTTGTTGACATCGCGAAAACATTTGATTACGTTGCGACTGACAACTGTCAAACCTACTGAATCGTCTGGAACAGTACAGCGCAGCACACAGTCTTGTGAGAATACTGTAACATTCCCCCAAATGCTTTTTATTATGGCCATGGATGAGATTCTTGGGTACCGCAACTAGGCTATCGGTTCTGTGATATCCTAGTAGATGGTTCTGCCTTCGATGACGGCTGAGACATGTGTGCAGAAAGTCAGGCTAGCCTTAAAGAGAAGTTTGAAGCTTCCGAAGTCGAGTTGACATGACAATCAACGCCCAAAAGACGAAAGTAGTTGTTGGTCGTGCGCAGGAAACATCAGGTGATGGCGGTTTCAGCCAGACTCTTTTGCTTCGCTGGCGAACTCATCAGCCCCTTGGGTTTTTGCACACATTGCCTTATTGGAGGTCCAATTTACTTTCACGGGGAAAAGAATATGCAACCAGCAGCAGCAGCTGGTTGAACTGCTCGATAAATTGACACCCTGTGGAAACAGGGTCAAAAATGGTAATCACGAGCAACTATCTATTTCCGAGGCTGGCACATTCGGAAGTGCTCGGCCAAGCCCACCGTGTTAGCCTATTCATGGCTGGCTGCACTCCCAATCGGCTACATCCACTTTCCTAGAGCCATGGTGGACAAGATATCGCAAGTCTGAGTTCAACCATCCTGATATAACGGAAAACCCTCATGGAAAAGCTGTTGTCTATACAGTGGATAGGACTATGTAATGTGTTTAACGACCCTGCATTTCGCACGGCTCTTTGGGATTTAAGCCTTCCAGTCCGCTTCCAAAGCGCATGCGTTCACACCAGGGAGGAAATGGCGGTTGCTGGTGGCGACAGTCTACACAACAGCCTTGATGGCCATTGGTCGCGAGAGTTGGCCGCTCCCACTATTTCGAATCGACTGAGGGCGATTCCTAGGGTGTTTACTCGCGATACCCAGATTTTGTGCAACCTTCCTACGGGGATCTTTGGTCGTGGAGAATATGGCTATCCGGAGGGTTGGTGCATATTCTTCAGTCTTGCTGGACGATGCATGGTGTGCCTATTGTCAGGTTGCCAGGGATAACAGCACCGTCGTCTGTGACAGACCATCCTCAAGGAGTTGAGTTCTTTCAAGCCTGACCTAATCACTGTCCGCAAGCGCCAAACAGCCGTATTAGACGTGAGGACAGTCTCGGATGGGCGTGAAATGAAAAGAAACAGAATAAAGGTTCTGATGATTGCCGCGCTTCTATCGTGCCACCGACTTTGACGTTAATTTGCTGGTTCCGGAAACAAAGGTTATTTCATATCTTATATGTTTTCCTCAGTATATCAAGGTTGCTGTTGGACTGGGGTATCATAAAGCCACAATGAGTAACTTGTATTTGCCCAGTACTTTGAGGTCTCTACGTACTGATGACAACTTGGTGCATGCTGCATTGAGTTGAGCGTTCTTTGTTACTAATGGCTTTCACACCTACCCCTGTATGACGGGCACCGTGTGTCTGATGTCCGTCCTTGCCGTACTGGCGCTTGCTGTGCCTTGAATGTCATCCTCTGTTCAGTTGCTGGCCTATACACATACGTGTCCATGCCGAATATTCTCACGAACCTTAGGGATCATTTCGCCCTGAAAAAACATTGGTTGTACGCCTTCGAATGACACGCCTCCCTCTTTTTTTATTGTTCTGTACATTACTCCATATCAGTCGCTCGAATTTTTCTGTGGCCATGCTTTTGAGAAATAAACGGTAAAAGTGCAGCAGCATTGTCTCCGCCTAGACTAAGGGAGAACAAAGTCCTGCTCTCATCAGTTAATTTCTTATGCATCAGCATGCACAACATTTTAAGTCGTTCAAAGTAATTTCCGGACACGACTTCGTATCTATGAATCCAAAAACTGGAAGTACCATTGATACGACCGTGAAGTTGAACGGGTATACATAAGCGTGCGGACCTAGTGCGTCAGTGCCACTATAAAACCACGTTAAATACGATTACTCATGCGATTAACAATCGCGATAGCCAGATAATACGCCATTGAAACTCCACCGAAAATAACTTGGGGAAAATTTCGATGATTGGTTGAAATGAGCATTCTCGTAAGCTGTGGTTGGTCCTGTGTGTGCTTTATGGTCGTTCGGCTGTAGCACACTTTCCATGCCTAACTGCCATGCCACCTGAAGGTTGCCCGAGGGCTGGGATACTGCCAGGTTGCCCAAGCCAAGCAGAGGTCGGGTTTGAACCAAGGACCTTCCGGTCAGTAAATTCGCGCCCCAACCACTTGCGCCATCTCACCTTGATGGTACGTCTGCAATCGAGTTCATCTCGGCCAGTTCGGATAAGAGCCCATTCATTCCATTGTTCTATTGCTTGTGGAACCAGGTAGTACACCAGCCTGAGTCAATCTTTCCAGCACGGTAAGAGCGATGCACCGAGGTTGCCGCTGCTGAATAACTGTTGTTCTGATGAACTAAAATCAAGCAATCACTTCACGTCCACTGGTTTGGCAGGTCTCACAGCGCAGGCAAATGCAAAGACCGATCCCAAAATAATATTGTGTGCAAAATAGCAGAATTCAGCTGACACCCAAGCTTAATGAATAGTAACGATAATCGTACGGCTGCTGCACCCTTTCGGCCCATAGCTCCTACGCAACACGAAGGAAGCTGGATTGCAGAGATATTGCCAGGTTGCCTGAATCAAAATGCCAGGGGTGGGTTCCAACCACAAATTTTTCGGTGGGTAGCATCGCGCCATAAAATGAAGTTGGAATAAAATACCACTGTACCTAAGGCTAGATAGTGCTGCCGAATCAGTGCGACCCTTTCGCTCCGTAATACAGCATACTAAAGTTTGCGTTGCCACAGCAGGACCATATTTTCGCTAAATTATATCTGCCGCAGTAGATTGGAAACCTCTTACAAACGCACACTAAAATGTAACCAGTGTTGCATAACCCAACAGATTTTACAACTGTGTTGATCGATAACTTTCGATGCCGAAAAACCATAAAAATTGAGACCAACATTCGAATGGGTTAATCTGCGGTCCATAGGCGAGGAATGATGTGGACTTCGGTATTTTGTGAAGGTGCAGGTCAATCTGCGCATCATCAGCCAACGATGTAGCTGTGCAACATTTATTTACACAAAGTGAGATTTATGTACATCAGAAAGAAAAGTACTGGTTTGAAAGGAACAGAGTCTGTTCAGGCAGACGACTGACAGTAGTTAGTGGTGTTCACAAGCCTCACACCACACATTGCGCAAATACCTTTCTTGAAGGCGCATGACTGACAGTAATAGGATCCCGGCTGATGAACCGTTTGAGCACAGACTCGGCAGCGTCTGAAGTTTTTCGTGTATGGGTTAAAACGGTTTTTTGAGGCGGTCAGCAGCTTGTTTTCATTCAGCTTCCGTCCACCGCTGCTTACAGTGTTTCTCGCACCGGCTTTCCATGGATCAGGAGTTATTACTTTCCCCAGTTTCTTCTCACCTATAGTCTAGAGTTAATTGAAAAATTCAACGTACACTTTTCACACACCATTTTTCAATTTATAAGGTTGAGCAATATACGTTTTGGGATCACCTGGAAATGAAAGAAACCATCGATAAGATAAACATAGGCCTTTGGGCTCATTGAGCGCTCCGAAAACCCACACTTGTCAAAACATCGTTCTGGTTTTTATCAAGTGATAGCGGGCGAGCGCAGTTTTGATACAAAAGTGTTCAGCTGTAGCACCTTTTTGGCGCCTAGCTGCCGTGCCACCCGAAGGAAGGCCCGATACACTGCCAGGTTGCCCAAGTTCAGACAGGAGCAATCAAGATGCAGAGGCTATGTTCGGACGACGGACCTTCCGATCAGCAAGTTCGCCCCATGATGACTCAGCCATCTCTTGGCAAGATCAAGCTAGTAACAGACGTCCTTTCGAAGCTGCAGAAGGGGCTATGCAACAATTATTTAAAGGTAGTCTCATATTACAATACCTATGGAAAGAACACCCTACAGACCAACTAAACCGTTACCCGAGTAGGATATTTCTATCGAAATTTAAACCATTGAGCCGCATTTGTGAGCAATTGTCCGATATTTTCAATGAGTGGGCGAATTCGGAGCGACAGTCATTCACGGAAAGAGAATGGATAGAGGCATTAATGGGTATACAGAAAGGTGGGAAACCCTGGAGAAGGCTGACTAGCTTACAGATATAGACCGCTCATTGACTCTGGTGAAAACATGGAGGAAAGTATCTCCAATGAAGCCTATTACGTGATCCTGATCCCGGTGGGTGGCGAGCGTTTATTTTTACGCTGATACACTCAACGCCTTCGTTACCCACGACTGTCATTGGCTGGCCATCGGTTATTCGATTCCAGTTTGACTGGGGTTTTCCGAACAACGTTCGTAGTGCCAGCGCTATCTCAGTACTCAAAGAACATTAGCCAGTCAGCGAAACTACGCACCAAACGTAAATGCAATTACCATCTCTGTCGAGAGTACTGAACACCTGGGCTTTCGACAGAAGTCTCATCCACCTTGCTTTACCCTAAACGAAAGAAATCTATGTTTCAACAAAATTATAAAAAAAAACTAGTTTTCTATAACTAGGACTATTTAACGAACTAGATATTCTGCGGAAGCCCTGTAAAGGCGGTGATCTCTGCATCATTCCACAAAAAAAGCAAACCTAATTTTCAAAGGATAGCAGAAATCAGCTGTTAGACCTCTTTATACCACCAACTAGTTGCCTGTCATTACCGTCCATGTCCGAGATAATCCCTACAACTAACAATGATCTTTCTGCCTTAGTGGCCATATAAAAGGCAACGCACAAACGATATGCGGACGTAGCGTGAACCGAAACTTCTGAGTGCATTGGCAAGACAGAGAAGCTGTCTTGTTTGAGATAGCTCAGTGACTAAGGCGTCAGTATGCGAACCGGAAGGTCCGTGGTCTGAACCCGACTATACGTGTCCAAGTTTGGGCAGCCTGGCGGTATCCCGGCCCTCGTGCCTACTTCTGGTATGGCAGCTAAGAACCGAAAGGTTACTACAGCTGAACAGTTTTTATTTAACAGCGAGACTGATTTACACCAACTAAAAGAACTAACATAGTATCCCGTATCAACATCAACGCGACAATACGCTGGTGTGAAGAAGCCCGTGCGATTTTACAGGATCGCATGAAATTCAACAGACATAGTTCTGTAGGTTAATGTGAATAAACGGATTGGAATTTGCTCCCGTCACCCCCAAGTGAATAGATTAAGGAAACCATATTCAGCTACAGAGTACGGATGCTAGATAAAGATGCTGACAATAATGACTCCCCCTACCGCGTAGCGTGCTCACGTTCAGTGACTGAAATCTCGGGCGCGTTCCGCTGCAGCACCTATAAACTCCGTCACGAAGAGACTGGACCTTGCCGTGGTGTGACGGTTTACGCACCTCAGCGATCCATTGAGCTATACTGGGGAGTGTCCCCACGACACAGAGTCTCTCATGCCAGGTTAATCAATGGTTAGAGGTTTGGCGAACACAGTCTCCCGGCCCTCCATGGTGAGGTTTGGAACATGTGAAGACTTGTTCCGTAGAAATGACAGTGCATTTGCATTTCTCGCTAAACACCGCTGCCTTGTGCTTAGGTTTTTGAGCCAAAGGCTTTGGTTGGGAACCCGAATCGTCCTCCTGTCTAGCTGTGGTCATCCTGGCAGTATCCCAGCCCTCGTACAACCACGACGAACCTGGGCAGCTTAACTCAAGCTGAGGACGAAGGACTCCTATCGGATGCCATATTTATCGACTTCTCAAACGTCGCGCTGCTCCACAAACTCGAGTCTTACGGGATTCAAGGGGCTATTCCACGTTGGATTATGGCATTTCCAGCAGACTGATCATTCCTAGCGAAAGTAGGCTCAACCTACTCCTCTCCGGCACCTGTACCCATTGGAGTTCCTCAAGGCTCCCTTTTGAGACCACCGCTGTTCCTGTATTGTATTTACAGGATTATCACGGAATCTTCCGCAAGAGGAAGCCAGGACCTTCGTTAGAGAGGAAGAAGCGCCAAACGGTGCGGGCTCGATCTTGATTGGCTGACATACTGGCCAATCGGGACATGGGTTCCCATGTTCCGAAGTTAGCTTACGGTACACTCGTCCAATTGACGTGAGGTTGTTTCATGTGGAATAGCTCGTCTCAGGGCACCGCCCACCAGAAATGAACTCAACTTAATCTAGGCAAAACTATGGAGTTCTCCAAACTGCGACTTTCACCGGGAATTAGTCTAATCCGTTTGCACGTTTCGGTGATCGGTTACTCGACCACTACCGACTCGCATTTCTTTAGCACTTTACGAGTTGCATTACAGTTGCATTACCAGTTGCATTACAGATATCTGGTTATAAGGCCTCAACCATACATGATATCCCAATCCAACAACCGCCCTTGATATTCATGTTTGTTGTCCGTCTCCAAAGCTTATGCCTGGGAAATACACAACCACCTTTGGTAAATTATTTTCCTCGTTGTTGTTCCCATCGGTGCAGTCCTAATGTGTAGCCAATCCAGTTCTCATTTTCAGAAAATGACTTCACTCGACAGGGTTTCTAAAATAAAAAATATATAAGCAATTGCAACTTATGCACATCTTCCACAATATCATTTGAAAACAAAATTGAACAAAATTACAGTGGCTCATTCACTGAGTGTTTATTAGATCCCGTTGTCCACAATCTTAGATCGATTTCCACGCTGAAACCGGAGCCTTACCGCCATAAAGTTTATCTTACTACCTGCTCAATTAATCCCATTGGCGGCGCTTAGGGAGCGGTTCGTACGCCAATGATTCGATGGCGGGATTCAGTGGACACGTACATTACTAGATGCAACGGAGTGGATGATAAGAATTATTGTACACTAGTCAGTCGCAGGACCAAGCAGTGGAGATTTCAGCCTTACGAACCAGGGACAGAATACATGCCCAAGTAGTGAATGAACGCGTGCTTCGTGCCAAATCTGCTCATTCGGAACAATATCTTAACTTCACTCCACTTCTGTTCCAAGACCCTGATACTACGTAGCCCAAAAGGATCAACAGTTCCGTCGTCGTCATAATAATTCGTAACCATCCCACAATCAGCCACATTTGCCGTCTCATCAACTGGGGGCTCCTTCTTGAGAGACCAATCATATCAATTGCTCGAGGTTATGAACCGAGACCTCTGTGTTCTTCAGCGTCCAGTTGTAAATAAAATCTTGAACATCTCAGACAGCTGACATATTAGAAGCTGAGGCTGTTCCATGTCTGTCATATAGGTTTGGGCCTCATCCAATCCACCCTTCGTGCCGAAGTATTGCAACCTATGCTCCTTGCCAAAATCATGTCCAAAATATCCGATCTGATGAGCTTCTAAGACAGCCACGGCTAATGTCACCTGTCTGTAATAATGCTGATCACCTAGCTGGGGACTGCAAAGTTAACTATATCACACTGCCAAGGAAAAACCCGCAACCCATATCCAACTAAAATACGTCACCACCATGCCGCAATTCCCGCTTTTGTACTGCAGGTGGTCGACAGACCCTTGATTCCAATAATCCATCCCTTGAATGCGCTTTTTCTGCTTATCTATATGCATCCTACCTGATTGGGCTTTTCGGTCACTACCTAGTCCAAACATCACCATGGACAGCACAACATCAGTGATGGAAACTACTGCTTAGCTGCCGTAAGCCATGATTTATTCGAAACTTTGTTGTAAAGAAAAGAAATTACATGGGCAGGGAAAGGACAAAATGCCACATAACGACGATAATTCAGGGGGGCCAACACCTCTTAACGCTCATTCAGGAGATCTGTATAGAAAATGACAACAAGAACACCAATAAAATTGATTAAAAATCGTATTCCACAGCGTCTCCAACTACGCGTGTAAGGGTGATACTACTGATCGGGAGGCACGCGTGTAGTGTGTTGTTCGTAGAATTTCGCTTTGCGTCGATTGAAAAATGGAATTCTGTTGCGTAATTCGCGGGGCCACTTTGTAACATTGGCTTTTATTTGACGGACGAATGATTGGAGGCAATGAATCTCCAGGAAGACTCGTTCGGGAGAAGATCTGTGTCCAGGTTTTGTAACTAAGATGCAGATTAGAGTTTTGCTTCCTTGTTCAACGGTCTGTAACCGGTCAGTTGGCATTTCCGAATAAACAACTCCACAGCGAAGGCCTTCTTTCTTTCACGCGTAGTGGGGGTCACGCAGTTAACTTCCCAGAAGGCGAAGTTCACCGAAGGCACCAAAACAATTAGTAATCTCTTTCACAGCACTCCACTATTTCAAGTGTCTCTACCTCCGCTATTCTGAACTGATCACGGAAAACAGCGCCCTTTCCAGCATACCTGATGCATTATCCGAGAAACGCAAACGATGCTCATGCAACATACCGCAATGTGAGCCCATGTTGCGCAACCTAAAACTCGCTATTTGCCTCATTACCGTTTTACTGACAACAAAACAAGCCCTGGCTCTGCTGAAACGGTTGTCGAACA